GTGTGGATTTTTCCAGCTTACACATGTGGGATGACATCACAAAAAACCACAAGAGCAACAAATTAAACTACATGAGAATAAATACTCCTGACTAGTCTCAAAGGGGACATTTTTACACCTTCTTAACTTTATTAGGAATTCTCAGCCTGAAACCAGAGTCCACTGTTCCGGCAAATCAGTACAACACATCAGTGTAACCCCTAAGAGAAGAGCAGCTCCAACTCTGCCCCGGGGCAGACGGTGCTTAGGAGCCTGTGATCTCCATGGTGCTAAACAGAGCCTGGTGCTGGCCCGGCGGGAATCCTCAAGCATGTCCCTGCCATCTCTCCACTGCTGTTTACAAAGCACTCTGAGCCACTGAGACCCCGACACCCAAGAGGGCACGATGCCTGGGCAGCAACCTGACCCTTCGCAGGCTTTCAGCATGAGGCTTATTTCACTTAAAACGTTGGCTCTGGAGGGCTCCCCAGGTGTTCCCTAGCAGGAAGCCTAGGGCTGACTCGGTCTGGAGATCCTTCCTCACTGTTATCAGACTGACCCCAACCAGACACAAGTAACCCAGATAAACGTTACACCCGGAAGTCTGCCGGTGCCAATGCTGACCCCCGGGGGTGACTCAGGCTGTGCGTCCCCCGCACAATGGCTGGCTGCCAGCTGCCATCTCTTCTCCTTCCCACAACTCACGAGCAGGCCATGAACGCATCTGGACACAGGCAGCCTAGGCTAATACGTCTCTTGGTCACTTCTTATCACCCAGACACAAGTTCCTTCCCCAGGCCCAACCCAGCACCGAGGCCTCTCCCATCTCTGACAGATCTCGGCGTTTTTAGCTACTTCAGGTCAGCCAAAGTGGTGGCTGCCCCACAAGTCCACCCATCGGACACCCAAATCCCAGCCTCCTCCAGCACTGCAGCTTGGAGCAGCGCTGCCAGCTCCCCCACCAGCCTGGAATCCAGCAGCGTCCCTCCCCCAGGAGGGATGCTAAAGACTTCTATCTATTAGAAGGGGGAGTTGGCCATAGAAAATCAGTTCACCTCCAATTACAAAATTCTCTCGACTCACTCTACAGTTCCCACTGACACCTCTTTCTTTTAAACCTATTTGAAAACTCTGATAGTCATACCAGTAACAACAAGCTAAGGAAGATTCGTGAGCCCCAGGCTGAGAACCATTTCTGTGCAGTGATGCTTCCAGAAGCCATTTACCTGCACATGAATAAACCGTTTCCCTGCCTGTCTTAAAGAAAACCCCCTCTTTACTTTTGGGACAGCAGAGGTGGCTTAGAATCCAGCCATTAAGAAGAGCCTGTTCTATATGAGAAAAATTAGGAGAAGAAACACTGCATATAAAATTGTCATAATATTCAATAATGGATTGTGACAGCCATAAGATTTAACACACAGTTAAAGGAATTCTCAATGTGATTTGGCCCTTCCAGGTTCAATCCTCTGTAACCAACCCTGATATTTCCATATCATCTCCAAAAAACATGTCCTGTATTCTCCCTGTGATTCTCCTTCCATAAGATAATTTTTTAGTTCTCAATTTAGCACACTGTAAATCCAGAAAAAAAAGGATAAATCTCATGCGATCATTTTAGTTTTACAAAGAAGTGGAATGATGTCTATGTTCATGGCCTATATAAGCAAGTACGTAAGTAGGAAGGACAGTGATAGAAAAAATATATCAAACTAGAAAGAGAAAACCCTCTAAGAGTCCAAGCAGGACAAGTAGCATCAGAGCTCACTGTGCTCTTGTACCGTCTATCAGGTGAAGCGGGGAGGTTTTAAGGAAGGTGCACTGTTTGAATGTGTGGCACATAAGTATAACTCTGTAAAACTTGGCTACAGGCTATTCAGCACAGTACAAAGTTACAGCTACTAAACCAGTACATTCATTTTTATAGTGCTTCATCCATTTATCATGCTTTGGTTTGCTAATTTTTTTCACATACCTTTTTATGTTACAGTCTGTTACCTTTGTACACATTTCTCATATTGGGGGTCTACAGGTAACACAACCTGCTTTTCCATAGAAAAAAGTCAATGTTATGCATATTATATCCAATAAATGGTATACAGGTTAATATAAAGATGTGTCTCATTCATGACTGAGCATGTTACCAAAATGGGGGAGGGGGAACTCTCGTGTAGAAAAATGTATCTGTATTCTCATTCATTTATAGATGCATAAGAAACTAAGAAGGATGGTGAGCTGGAGGGTCGGGGAATGCATGCTGCAGTCCACATGAGCCAGTCAGGTGATGGGACAAGGATGGAAGAAGTTGCCTTTATGCCTTTTCACACACGCTGTGGGGCGGGGGGGCGGGGGGAACCTAATACTTTTTTGAATGATGTGATACATAACCTATCAAATAAATTTTTAAAACTCACCTCATTTATAGATGAGAGAAACTCAAAAAGAAAGCAAGCAGGATTAGAAACATTTACATCAGGCATATCCAGAATAAAAATCTAATTGCAATGGGAATGCATTACAAATTTTTTTTTTAACTAGCATCCAATTTCATAAAGAACTGCAGTGAATACCGAGAAAAACAGATTTACAGAATGGTAACAAGTGTCCTTATTCTTACCACCCTCTACCCATGACAAACCAAGCAGGCAAAAAATAAGTACATAGAAGACCTCATAGTTAATAACGTAGCTCAGTTGATTATATATATATATATATATATATATATATATATAAAAAAATATAAAATGCACTAAAAGTAGAAAAACAATCTGTGCCCTAGAAATGCAATGACTCGAGTCAAAGCTGAATAGCACGTTATCTAGCAAATAGCAAATGAAACCACTTGTGATAACACACTACAGCCATGTTTCTCAGACTCCTTGAATTAGAAGCGCTCACCTGGGATGCTTGTGACAATCCATTGCTCATGCCCTTTCCCGAGAGATTCCAATCCAGAGGGAATTCCGATTCAGACATAAAAAGTATAAATTACTTGGGAAAAATGAAGCTAATAAAAGCATGGGTTGCTTCCTTGGGAAAATTAAAAACACAAGATAAACCACCATCTAATCTTATTAAGGAAAAATATTAAAAAGCAAACACACATAGCGCCTGAGCGTATAGAACTCAGCAGCCCACTGTAACCCGATGAGGTCATCCAGGACTATAAGGATGGTTCAATATTTAAACATCGAGTAGTCCAAGTCAGCAGGTTAATAGCTTGTAGGGAAATAGGCCATATCATGATAACCAGAGATGCTACAAAAGACATTTGATAAAATTCAATATCCATTCCTGAATTTTAAAAAGTCCGAATATAGATAGATAGGTAGAAAGGTAGGTAGATAGATAAAAATTTAAAGTCTGAATAAAATAAGACTGGAAACCAAAGGACTTGAGAGGTGCTTCAGTGGAAAATTAAATTCACAGATACAAGCTAGGACCTTAGAAGCAGTCACGTTTGGCTAAGTTACACTGCGATGACAAGCCACTCTTAAATTTCAGTGACTTAGGACATGAAAGGGCTATTTCTCACTCACATGTCATGTCCATTCTGGGTGAGCTCTCGCTCTTGTCTCAGGACCCTGGGCTGATGGAGCAGCCACCATCCAAATCACGGCTGTCTTGTGGCAGAGGCAAGAGGGACCTGGGGATTCTTAAAGCTTCCTCTTGGAGGGACAGGAGCCACTTCCACTCACGTTTCATTGACCAAAGTCAGCCCCATTACACGGTGGGGGGAAAAGGAGCCTTGGAACGTCGTGACGATGCTCTGATTTTTAGAGTTTTTTTTTTTTTTTTTTTTTTTTTTTTTTTGCGGTACGCAGGCGTCTCACTGTTGTGGCCTCTCCCGTTGTGGAGCACAGGCTCCAGACGCGCAGGCTCAGTGGCCACGGCTCACGGGCCCAGCCACTCCGCAGCACGTGGGATCTTCCCGGACCGGGGCACGAACCCATGTCCCCTGCATCGGCAGGCAGACTCTCAACCACTGCACCACCAGGGAAGCCCTAGAGAGATTTTTTAAATCTATTCCAACAAATCTAAAGGAATAAGCATTTGTACGAAAGGTAAAACGCTAGTGAAATATCTAAGGAGAGAACTGCATATGATCCACAGATCCAGTTCCTAAGGTGGACAGTCTATAAGCTGTATGGAATAAAGCTGAGAATTGCCAACATCAAAAAACTGATTGTGTGTTTCTTCTCTATGCCCTTCCCCCAGAGCTCTGGCACGTTAATAACCTTTTAATTGCTCTTTCCCTACAGAGAAAATTCCAGTCCCAGGCAGACCTCTGTAGCTGGTCTTCTCCTGGGGTCAAGCTAACCAGCTTGTCTCTGGAGACGCGAAATGCATGTGGTCGGCTCGCTCCCCTCTGTGCTGATTTTTAAGTGTGTCTGCCAAACTAAAGCTCGAACACGTTTGTGTCTGAGCTCCCAACCAGCAGACCTGTTCAGTCCTACTTGTCTTAGAACTGAGTGATCAGCATCAAAACCCTTTCTGCTCTGAGGACTCGATGTAATAATATACTCCTCTTTGGCAAAGTTGTCAACAGGCCAGCAGGCCGGCTCTTTCATTGTCAGGGCCTGAGTGTACACAAACACATCCTCAGACAGGTCTGTTCTAAAAGGACTGCTCTAATGGAGCAGAATCGGAGTCTTGAAATATGCATCTTGTGCTTTGATGTGAGGCCAACGGCTGAGTGGAAAACTCTTCACGTGGCCTCCTGGGCTTTCAGGAGGAGCGTCTCTCAGGAGGGCGCACCAGCCTGACCACACGGCCTGGAAGGCCTTAGGTTGGGAAGGAAGGACATAATTAAAAACACATGGGAGAAGGAATTTCCACCGGGTCCTGGAGTGGCTCGGAGGACAGCTTGGAGGGCAGGAGCGGGAAGTGGGAGGCCCGTGTATGTTTGTGCAGCTCCGGGACATAAATATTTTGCTTCACGTCTAACTCCAAAAGGCCCGAGCACAAGAAAAGATCCCCGTTCTACAGACGCCCGATGATGACATCACCCCCACGCGCACTGAGGTAAAAGGATGTATTTCACAGTGAGAACAGTTGTATGTTACAAAAGTACTGTGAATCTTCACCAAATAATTAATCAAACGTATAGCCCTCAAAGGTGCAGAATTTCATCTCTCTCGTTCAAGTCCCGTTCTGCTTCGTTTCACTTGGCTTTCGGAGGGAGGTAAGAGGTGCCCCGGTCAGCGAATAGATGACTTCTTCGGCATTTGCTTTTTTTTCATTTCTTCTAATAAGGAGACTACATTCTAGATAAACAAAAACAGGTGCATGTAATCCAAGGTTAGGGTTTTTTTGTGTGTTTTTTTTTAAGTGCTGCAAAATGAGCCTCAAAGGGCAGAAAGAACATCCCAACCTTTCTGTCAAAAACTCTGGCCATTTCTAGGACACCTTTGCCAAACTGGAAGAGAAAACAAGAAAAATTCTTTTGTATCTATGTTCTCTCCTCCTCACCAGGAAAAAATCCTTAGATGGAGATGGAGTTACATACCTCATTTTTCACACTTGCGTCTGCCCCTTTGTCAAGAAGTAACTGGACTAATTCTTCATGGTTATTCAGCACGGCCACCTAGGAAACAAACAGTGGGGGTGAGCGGAAGCGGGTGCCTGGTGGGACAGGTCCAGGACACCCACCAGCAGCACACTCAAGAGTCAGAGCTGTCTGGGGACGCTGTGGCTTTGCAGGACGGGTGCGTGGACCTCGCTGCACCGCCATGGCAGCTGCAAGGGAAGAGGAAAGGAAATCTGCTTTTCTCCATGTGGGATGACCTGACAAGTCCTAGGCCAAACCAGGACAGAGAACAGCACTTCTTTGTTTTGATCCTAAAATGGCCCCAGGGACTGGGGTTTGTAATCCTTCAAGAATGTTGTCAAAAGACAACAAAAATACTAGAGTGACCCCCCCCACCCCCCAAAAAATGCTATGGTGACATCACCATATCTTAATTCACAGGCCGATAGGGAATACACACGCAACCAAAACCCAGCCGCTTTTTTTTTTTTTTTTTGCGGTACGCGGGCCTCTCACTGTTGTGGCCTCTCCCGTAGAGGAGCACAGGTTCCAGACGCGCAGGCTCAGCGGCCATGGCTCACGGGCCTAGCGGCTCCGCGGCATGTGGGATCTTCCCAGAACCGGGCCACGAACCCGTGTCCCCTGCATTGGCAGGTGGACTCTAAACCACTGCGCCACCAGGGAAGCCCCCCAGTGCTCGTACGTGGCTGCACTCTCAAGAATATCTGTTTTAGGGCCAGCTCTGACCTTAATTCCACCTGTCAAGCCAGGCTGCGGTGTGTAGCAAGGCGTACCATGAGAGGGGTCTTCCCGTCTTTGTCTTTCATGTTCACATCCGCGCCCGCATCAATCAGCAGAGAGGCGACCTCCTGGTTCCCCGAGACCGCAGAGACTCTCATGAGCGGGGTCCACCCCGAGCCAACGTCCGTGGTGTCCACCTGGAGAGCCACAGGGAGAGTGGCTCTTAGCCCACTTTCTTTTCCTGAAAATCACTCATCAGAAACTTATAAAGAAATGTCTACTTGCCCAAATTCCCCCACAATTTAGATAGCAGTCTTTCTAGACCTGGTGAGAGTTGACTGGACCGTGATTTCAATTCACATTTACACAGTGAGCAGCTGTGTTTGGACCACTTTAGAGGGTGCTGAGAGGCCCCAGGAGGCCCCTCCCCACCCACTGGCATCTTCATTTACATTTTGTTCAAATGGAAAAAAATGGAACAGAAAAATGAAATGTAATCACCTCCTCCTTGGCCCCATGTGAGCCCTGCCTTATTTTCTCGTGCCTAACTTTCCTCGTCTGGTTTTTAAAGGGTGTCTGCTGCTTACTTTTAAGCGTCTTTGTAAGCGGCTTTAAATCCCTTCTGGAACAAGACAGTAATATAAACGCCCACCCTGATACTTACCAATAGGTATTAATTTTAAGCAGGAGAACTACAGCCGGAGTAAATACAAAGCAACCAGATCTCTTACATGAAACCCAGTCTGAAAAGTCAGCCAACTAATGCCTCGTCCAAAATGTAGTTTGCCTGGTAGTAAGATGGGCCATTTCTAATAATCTGCCCGACATTAAGATCCTTCAGTTTCAGGCTTTTTAAGACATATTCTAGAATAATGAAATGTAGATACTGCCTCCTCCAATCCCAACAAGGACCTCATCCATCCGTGAAGAGTGGTACCGAAGTAGACATATACACGTGTGCACAGACGGACGCATGGACGCACACACAGGTCTAATTTAGAAGAATTACTTACAGAAGAATTACTCAGAGCTCTCTGCAGCTTTAGTATGAAGCATCAGACCGGAATAACAAACAAGGAACTGCCAGTAGGGCCTTAGGACCTTGCAGGTGATTTGTGTGTATGAGATTAGCCACTGCAACACCGTTAAGATGTGCAGCTCTTCCTCTTGCAAATAACAAATAACCTTTGGGCAGCAAGCTCCATTATATTTAAATAATAATAAAATAACCACCTCGTACTACAAGGTACTTTATGCATTTCCAATGCGCTTCCACACACATTTTCTCTTTGGTCCTGAGGGTTAAACAGGGGTAGCTATTTTTATTCCTGATTTACAAATGTTTAAACCAAATCTCACAGAAGTCGAATACCTTCCCTGAGGTCACATGGCTCATTAAATGTAGAAATGGTTCCCCATGCAAATAACTCGCTCTCAGTATAGATCATTCGATTCGAGAAGAGGGTGACAATGCCCTACTTTGCTCCCAGATCCAACCCACTGTCTTCCGAAGCATCGGATCAACCACCTGCCAAGAACAGAGAGGGACTCGTGTTGATATCATCTACCAGCCACACAGAAACCTTTTGTGGACACATTTATGGAGTTCCAGTGCTACAGAAAAAGATGGAATTCACCCCAAATGAGTGTGTCCATAACTAAAGCCCAGAGAGGCTACACTTCCAAAATTCCAGTATTACATGTTGATGGCAGAGACCTGCCCTTCTTTCAGCACAGGTCAAACTTCATTTTCAGCTACAGACTTTTACTGGGTCCAAAGCATGAGCAGAATTCATCATAAACCAAACAAGAGGAATGTGGCTGTCACCACCACCCAAGGCAGGTGTGGGCCCTAACCACCAAGGCACGAAGGCTGATACCTCTGACCTTTTGTGCGTGTGTCTAAAACAAAACAAGAAATGTAATAAAAGGGATTTATCTTGATTGAGGTTCTTCCTCCAAGGGGCCCTCTTCTCAGCCCTCTCAAAGCAGCAGCAGGAACCAGTGAGATCCCACAACTTAAGCCTTGCTTTTGCTCAATTCCACTTCAGAGACAAACTAGGACAAATCTACAGACATCTTCCGGGAGACATAACTCTTCTCCATTCGAGTTTATTTTCCAGGTCACCAGTTTAACTTCTCAGTAGTCTACACCATCTGGCAATCACAATTAGGAGAGAATTTTGTTCATCATTCCTTATTTCCATGCCCTGAAATTTTTATTTAACTTCTTCGAAATCTTCTAAAGTTTTCAAAGTTAGCAGCAATTACCCTAATGGAGCTAATTCTATTTGCCCATCTTCAAATATCTTTAGAAGAGTCCAAACAACTCTACTTCCATTTGCCAAGTAGAATTTGTGCTTTCTGATAACGTGAAACCAGAAGCAAACCAACATGCCTGCTTCAAAGCAAAGACACGAGACCTGGAATATGCTCTATTCCTTTTTTTGCGGTACGCGGGCCTCTCACTGTTGTGGCCTCTCCCACCGCAGACCACAGGCTCCGGACGCGCAGGCTCAGCGGCCATGGCTCACGGGCCCAGCCGCTACGGGGCATGTGGGATCTTCCCGGACCGGGGCACGAACCCGTGTCCCCTGTATCGGCAGGCGGACTCTCAACCACTGCGCCACCAGGGAAGCCCCTGGAATGCTCTATTCTTGATACAGTGTTTGCTCTTCGGAAGTTTTTTTTAATGACTAATCTTTAAAGCAAACCCAAGAATAAAAATAATCTAATTCTAAAAGCAATAAGCAGCAGTATGGCTATAAGAGTTCTGAACATCTTGGTGCATCCAGCACCTTTGACAGTATCTGGTGTGTTGTAGAGGCACCATCAAGCTTTGTTGGCATAGGGAATGAACAAAGGAATCAACAAAGTACAAGAAGCATCAGGCCCGGCTCTGGATCCAGCACTGTTTCTTTTCCCCCCACACGCGATGAACCTCCATGACAATCTGAAGCCTCACTATCATAACAATTCTGTGACCATCTTTTCTCCCAAGGCTTCAGGAACTTTCTTGCTCATAAGTCAGAGAACTTTCTCCAGCATTTCTAGGTTCAACTAATCAAAAGACATCCACCTAAGGCCCTGCTTGTCCTAAACCCTATGGAACAGCATTTAGGTTCTTAACTCTACGTGTGTAGTTAACAAGGACAATCCGTACCTCACAGCCATCCTTTATCATCCACTCAATCACATTGCAGTGGCCTCCATCTGCAGCCCAGTGCAGAGCTGTACAGCCTCCTAGGTCTCTAGTGTCCCAGGAAGCACCGTGTCTTCGGAGGTATTTCACAACATCCAGGTGTCCTGCGTAGCACGCAAGCATTAGACTGCAACACACAGCAGGAGAAGCATTTGGCTATAAGTGGGGTCTCCACACTCAGGTCTACATTTACCCTCCCTGGCTTAAACCTAAGAGAGAAATCCTAATTTGGGTGGAAAAGCCATGAAAATTATTCACATACAATGTATGTGTCTGTAGACTGACGAATAGACACACTGAGGTATATCCATACAATGGAATATAATTTGGCCGTAAAAAGGAAGCGAAGTACTGATATATGCTACAATGTAGATGAACCTTAAAACATTACGCTAGATAAAAGCCAGATGCAAAAGGCCCCATAGTATGATTTCATTTATATGAAATGTCCAGAATAGACAAATCCATACAGACAGAACTAGCAGGTTAGCGGTTGCTGAAGCTGGAAGGAGGAGATGGTAAGTGACTGCTAGTGAATATAGGGCTTCTTTCTGTGTTGATGAAGATCTTCCGGATTTATACAGTGATGGTGGTTACACAACTTTGTTCATATATTTTTAAACGCTGAATTGTACATTGTAGCAGAATGAATTTTATGGTATGTGAATTATACCTCCAAAAAATGAATAATCACTGTAATAGAGTAAAATGTTGGATTTAAAAACATCTACCAGTCCATGATGATATTTAGAAAAGAAAAAGAAAAAAATCTCATTGGACACTATTAGAAATAACTGTTAAACCAATTCCTTACTCTAAATATTGGTACTTAAATAAATATTTATGTTGTCTTTATAGAATACAATGTAGTCCATCCCCAGTTGATGAGGGAAAGCTCTTGTTAACAGAAGACTACACAGCTAATAAATATGGGAGGAATCAGGGAATTAGAAAATCACTTTGTGGCAAGTCCCAATTAAATAATTGATTCAGGCAAGGATCACAGTAGATGCTAAAAGTTTTGGATGAAAGTTTAATGGAGAACAGGATATTCACACTGTACTGAATTTCTAACCCATAGATTATTTTCTAATTGCAATGGGAAGCTATATCTTTACAAAGGAAAGACTTAGCTGTTACACGCTCACCAAAGGATGAGAAGTAGAATCACCAACTGGGGGGCAACCTGCATCACAGGCCTGACAGAGGCAAACTGAAGCCACAACACCAGCTCTGAAGTGCTCTTGCTAAAAGTGTTAACCTGAATCCAATCAAGCCTTTAAACCTAATTTTCACTTTATTGGAAATAATGAACAAGTTAAATGCCTCCTTCACACCTAGGAGACAACTGAGCAGATCAAGAATACAGGGCATCCTCTAAGATAATTGATCCCGTCTCCTCAAAAGTCATTGCTATAAGAAAAAATTTTTAAAATAAAAAAAAGAGACAGAGGACCAGTTACACACACACAGGCTTTTTTTCACCTTCAGTCTACTGATGGGAAGCATTAAGAAATTTCCTGATCTAGATATCCTTACCCTCCTGTATGATCCCTTAGCTAGGATGGAAGAGATACATAAATGTCTTCACATAAAGATGTACAAATAGCTTTCTTTCTATCAGATTTTATCAATAAGGTTATCCTCTGTAGCTTTCCAGCTTCCTCTCTGCTGTGGAAAAGTTCAAGGTTATTATCAGTACCTAGAAAATCTGAACAAGCTCATTGGTAGAACAGACCAACCACAGAGCCTATTTTGGAGGTGATCTTTCAATAAATTTTCTAATTTCTTGTATGGATATTGGCTATTTTGGATGTTCTACTTCTTGAGTTGATTTTGATGGTTTAAATTTTCTCTAAAAAAGTACCCATTTCAATGATTTAATCAAATCTATTTTAGATGCAAGTGTACCACTTTCTTTTCAGGCTTAAATTTGCTCTATAGTGTTATGAATCCTTTCAGATTTCTAATTTTTTCTTTCCTCTGAGATGTACAAAATTGGTCCATTTTATTGTGTAGCTTTGGTTTAAGAGGTAGCTCTTACATTTCTCAACAATCTTTATTTTATAATCAATTTCTACTTTTTAAAAATTCTTCTCTTTCATACCTCTCAAGTTTTTCTTTTTTCTTTTTAAAATGGCACTATTATTTTTTCAAACTTCTTGAATTGATGGCTTAGTTCCAAAAATACCTAAGAGTTATTTGAAAAATTACTGTTTAAACTTAAGTGATTTTTTCAATGTTACTAAAATCTACTGCTGCACTATGTCCAGAGAGTGTGGTAGGTAGGCTTTCTGATTTTAGAAATTGATGTCCTCTTTGTGGCCTACCATATTTGATCAGTGTTTTGTAGCTACTCCTTACATACTAGTTTGCAGTGCATAAACCTTTGATCGGCATACATCACGTGACTATAAGCTCCTTGAGCAAAGGCTTTGCATTTTATTCCCTGTTCTACCCAAGTGCCAAGCACAGAGCCTGGCATGTGGTAGTCATTCAATAAATATTGGTTGATTTGAATTAATTAATTAAACTTAATTACTAGATTAGTGATTATTTTTAGGTCTTTCTACAACATTCTCTCATCGTTGTAAGAACAAGTTTCCAAGTATCGTGTTCTTTCCACAAACTTCTCCTGCAAAGCACTCAGCCCTTTCACCTCAGGGAAGTAACTGGGTTGTATCATTGTGAATGCCTTTTGCTTCCTTGGAAACACCGAAGACTTCTAGTTAACAGAGTCAGGCGACGTGCAATGAGAGCCCTTAGGGAGGTACAAAGTGCTACAGGCACTTACAACCAAATGCCCAGCACACGGCTGGAGAAAACTGCTTCAGTAACTATTACTTACTGAGCGCTTAGTGTCTGCTGGGCTCAAGCTAGGGAAGGCAGACGCATTATAATGGATATCCCCCCAAATACCCTGTTGAGTGGAAGAATAAGTGGACAAGTGAATAAGCCAGTTTTTGAGCTGCCATCATTCCTTTGAGACCTATCACCTCTCAGTACTGTCAAAAAAAAAAAAAACCAAGAAAATATTTGGGTAAATCAAAAACCCAAGCCTAGTAACACAAGTATGGGAACAGTTTAGGGCATGTTCCATACCTACCTGTCTTTGCCACTTCCGTTCTGCAGATTCACATCTGTGCCGTTAGAAACGAGGATTTTCACAAGCCTAAACAAGACAAATTTCAGAGTCGCTGGGTAAGCAGCTTTGATGAATAGGAACCCCCAATAACCCAGTAAAAATGAACGACTCTATATTTAAGACCTGTCCTGGCAACTCTCTCTTCTCCATCTTCAGAGGCAGCTGGCTTTAAAGACAGGGCATTACTAAACCAAGAAACTGCCTCTCCACACCAAAAAACAAACAAACAGTTTTTTACCCTTTACGTGAATTAATCATTGAAAACAAAAAACTATACCACATGAAACAAGTTAGACTATGAAACTAACTCACAAATACATTTTCAAATGGTAGAATCTAATGAAAATCCATTTCTACTTCTTGAAAAATGGCATTTTAGTTAAATATAAATATGTTGGAAAAAATAAGCTCTTAATATTTATGTGTATCTCCGTGAGGAGTAGAGAAAATAGATTGTGTCAGTGGAAATTATATCTGAACAACCTATCAGGGAAATTTGTTTTGTAGAATGAATATCCCTCCCCCTTTTTTTTTTTTAAAGAAATTCACATTCTAATAACCAGTTTTCCCAGGACATATAAAATACCTTGCAAAATGTGATTTAAATGGCTACCTCTCTTCCTTATCACATGATTATACATTTTTATACCCTCTCCTGCATGTTGTGTGACTTTATGATAAAAGCAGCTGAGCTTCTGTTCAGCCCCTACATGGCTCAATTTTGGAAAGAGAACTGAAGCTGGGTTCCCCCTCCCCCACCGACGGCCCTTCCCCTCCCATCCCCGTCCTGAGAGGAGCCTTTGGGAGGAGCGAGGGGCTCAACCCCTCCCTAAGGGATGCAGAGGGAAGCACCATACCTGGTGTATCCTCTCTGGGCAGCGACCATCAGAGCGGTAAAGCCAAACTTATTGGGAACATCAACCTTCACGTTGCTTGGGGGAAACACAGAGGGAAAAAAAAGAGATGAATGTGCCCACACGGCTCCCTGTGGATTCACAGCTGACTTCTCTTTCAGGGCACAGGTGGTTAAAATGGTTCATTTTCCTGAAAATTCCAGTTCCTTCTGCACCATTAAGTTTTTGTTGTCTTAGACTGCCCTGCCTAATGTTTTAAAGGATTCAAATTCACAAGGAAAGAAGAGGAAATTGCTGTAATTTCACTTAAAATAGGCACTTCCTTCAATTCATAACCATTACGTAATCTGCTGAAATCCTCTATGAAGAGCACGGCCCCTCTAAACTAGCGGGGGACACAGTGGCTTCACTGCAGGCTCTCAGCTCCACCCAACACCAGCCTGGTCCCCACTGCACCCACTGGGCATAAAGCATTGCTGCTCAAAGAAGAAAGCCCAGCTCTTCGGGCTTCCCTGGTGGTGCAGTGGTTGAGAGTCCGCCTGCCGATGCAGGGCACGCGGGTTCGTGCCCGGGTCTGGGAAGATCCCACATGCCGCGGAGCAGCTGGGCCCGTGAGCCATGGCCGCTGAGCCTG